GAACAAAAAAACCTACTCACCTCGCCCGATAGCGATTCGTGCGTCCGACTCGTCCATTGTTTGGTAGCTAGTGGGCGGAGTCAGTTGCTTCTCTAACTCTTGGTGCGCGCATTCATAATTCGTGATTTAGTCGCTTTTTAAGCAAAGACCAAACCGCTTGCGCTCAGCCTGTTGCATTTCCTGCCTCGAGCCAATCACTCGCGCGATTCCCGAATGGCGCCGATCGACACCAACCTGACGAGCAATCGCTCGAAAGGCTCCGGTCTCCCGAATCACCGGATCGCTCAAAAGTGCTTCGCCACCTCTGCGCGACTGCTAAGCACTGGCCTACGCTCAAAACGCTGCCATACTCGGACGCAAACTATAAACGCGGCCTGAGTCCTAAGCCATAACCGTGGCCGAGAACTGAACAGCTGATAAAGGAAACTGCCAAAAGTGCACTAGAGTCACAAAGTCACAAAGGACAAACAGGGCAGTTTGGAAAGAGCACTTATCTCCCTCAAATAAGGCAACAAAAGGCACAAGATGTAGCTATAAGAAAAGAAGAAGGAAAAAGGCAAAAAAATTCTCAGTAATCATCGTTAAAAGAAGCCATTTCGGTAAATTTGATGAAATTTATTTTCCCTGCAGATAGCTGAACATCAACACAGGCTCAACAGGGATCAAATTTCAAGATACTTTTTTTCAAGAGGCGGCCTTACAACGGTAACAGAACATAGCTGAATAACAACCGACCATTGATCAGTTTTCAAGGTAACCATTTAACCTGCGCCAGTAGAAGTCGCGCGCGACGTCGCCCCAGTGAAAGATTTGCTTTTTAGGTTAGATGGCGACAACAGACACAACCAAAAAAAGCAATAAATGTCTAAGATGTTGTAGTCTACATGAAATCCGACCGCTCCAATCGAGGGGCAGGGAAACGCCGCCCTTTCGCTGCACGCGACGGAACCACGATTGCTTGACCGTATCCACCAGAAATTTCCCCTCTATTACTCACCGCAACGATAACATTGCTACTTCAACTCAACTACAGTCCAAATAACACCAAATCAAGCAGCTAATTAGTCTACTATATGACTGTTCTGGCACCACCGCCGCTATAAATAGCGGAACTGACGACACTTTTCCCGTCAACTGGTTTTATTACGTCAACTTCGGCGACATGAATACCAGCGTAAATCTTCTTTTTAAGGGTTTATTACTAGCCCTTCCCAACGGTCAGTCATGCAAATGAGCCAGCTCCTTGGAAATGACTCATTTACTTTGATTTCTTGTCATTCAAAAATGCTAAAACTTGTAGGAACATACTTTATATGGAGAAAAAAAACTGATTGTAGATCCACTGCACTCACAAATTTGCCTTCAGCAGCATAAAAGGGTTTAGCAAGCAGGGTAGAGAATGATCGGTCAATAAGATTCCAATCGCTTGAACTTCACAACAGCTCTATTGGCAACTGACAAACATGTTCGTGGTTAGTGCAAAACAAAGATACTGATCGAAAACGAGACCTTGCAGTACATTGTTGCAACAATTGGAACGTTCACAGAGCAATCAGGCAATGCTTGGCCCTAATACAAAACAGATAACGTCAATGGAATGACCGTAATCGCCAGGACAAGGGAAAAGGGCGGTGGTGTAATTGAGAGGGTACAGGAGGCACATGACAGCGCGACTGTGGAGTTTCGTTCATGAGACTAAGAAGTGCGACTCTGGTCGTCTGTGTTCTGCTGAGACCAATCCGCAAGAGGGTAGATGAAAAAACCAGAGACGGGCGTTCTGTTGTGAACTAGTCAGGCCACGCTACTCCCTTCGCGCGATGTATGTTGCGGCAGTTTCAGAGGGGTTTTTTTGTATTATCCTATTCACGGATTATCGTCGGAGCAAGGAATTTGCGTCAGCTCACGGAGTCCTCGTCCAGCATTCCGTTGCGAACCGTCCTTCTGTGATCCCTTTAGCAATTTGAACGAGTTGTGAGACAGCGCAACTCGTACGTAACGGGTTGCGGCGTGGTCAGCCACGCCTGGCAGCGAGGCGATTTAGCACTGCCCCACGATTTGGTGGCCGCCCAACAAAAGCACGCTGCTCTGCTGCTTCCCATTGTCGCCTTCATTGCACCAGAAGAATTGGCATTTATACTTCATAGAAGTTGACAATAAGTTTCTACCAACTTCGACTGGTAGCATTTTATGGCTCCACAGGATTTCCAGGTCTCCACTGGTGGCCCGATCCGTGATGGAAAGTAGCACCCACCCCCTCCCATCGCCGGACTGCGCCAAACTTTTCTAAGAACCAACAGCAACAACGCAAAAGCTAGTGCAAAGTCGTGATCCACCAGTGCCTCACCTCGGCTAGACTGATCCACCGGCGGCTCGCCTCGGCTCGGCGGCTGGGTCGTTAAAATTTCGAGAGGTAAAAAGAAGAATTCCATAGAATATCAGTGAACAGCTCAAAGGGTGATCGAAATTCCATGGTAAACTTCCAATCAATCAGCACAAGGACACAAGACAAGAAAACACTCTCGATGACTCACATTGCGTTTTTGACAGCCTTGGCCAATACTAATCCAAACTAGTAAGATAAAATGTTACCACTAATAGCCGTTCTATGACAACAACACAAAAAATGATGAATCATGAGGGTTAGTGGGCAAAAATGAAGGCAAATAGCTTTGCAGCGAACATTTTAATCGCTCTATCACCATGGAAGAACTTTATGAGGTCAAAGTATCGAAATCTGACCAAAGTATCGTGAACACTTGAGAGAACATTACTGCGAAATGCAGATAACAATATTTTGCACAGCGAACACTTGAAGGTCATCGAACGATCAGAAAACGAATGGCACATACACAGTTGATATGATCGTATTCCAGCGGAGCGGTGTCAGGGGGCGTGGAATAAGCCCACCCATGACTGCGTTTTCTACCAATAGTGGCCACATTCTGCTGGAAAGAACCAGCCGTAGAAAACGATTCAGAAGGGGGCTCATTTCAAGCCTCTTGACACAGCACCGCCGAATTGCGACGATTTCAACTATATATGTGTCATTTAGTTTCCGGTCATTCAATGACCTTCAGCTGTTCGCTGTTCAAAAAATCTCGTTATCTGCGCTTCGCAGTAATGTTCGAGCAACTGTTCGCGATATTTTGGTCAGAATTCGATACTTTACCCTCATAGGGTTCTTTCTTGACTTGATGATGAAGCCGTTAAAAATTCTCCGCTAAGCGACTTGGCATTGTTTGCTCCTCGCATAAATCCCATGATTCATCATTTTAGTGTTTTTCTGTAACGAGTCGGCCATACAATTGAAAGCACTGCAATCCGGGAAATCGGCATCAGGATGCTTGGAATGAGCCCACCTGCGACCGCGCACATTCCAGTAAAAAGTAACTAAAGAAAAACACCTCAAGGGGCTTATTCCAAGCCTCCTGACACCGCACTACCGAACTACGACGATATCAGCTGCGAACAAGAATGAAGAGCTCGAGGCAACGACACGAGGGAACACTGCGAAAGAACCTTTCATATCTCGCCAAGACCAAAGGATTCTTGAACTGTGGCAGCTTTCATGTCTCTAGAACCAGATCTGTACTTTTTTCCAGCGTAGAAAGAAAATACTGGACTCATGAGGTCCAAACGAGTGATTCGCATGACTGTTCAGTAGTTCCGTGGTAAGACCGCTTGCTACAGACCACGAACGCGTGTTTTAAGACTTGGCGTTTGAGTAAAATGCAATGCTACCTTACAAGAAAGACACTTCCGTGTTCATAGCCGAGGCAAGCAAAGCCTGAGATAGTGCTTTTCCTACCTTACACAATGGTTTACACGATCCCGACCGCGTGACACACGCGGGGTGTCAAATGTACATTTCAGCGCTGTTTCAGTTGGTCTATCTGGCATTTCTTCCAGGTTCGAAAATTGTCAAAACGCGTGTTGGGATAATACACACATATCTAAAAGAGAAAATAAAAAACCGAGGAGTTACTCATTATCGGTCTAAAAAGTAACAAAATGATGCGTAGGAACGCTGGTCCGCAATATGCCAAAAGGTACCAGAAGCTATGAGAGAACGATTACAACAAGAAATAGTCGTTAACGAACGAAAATTGAGATTCTAGATGAAAAGCCAAACGATAGACTCGGAGGTCTTCCAGAACGTAGCAATGCGATAGACGAGCAAATATTTGCATAAGACCAAAAGCTATGGTAATGATGGACAGATGGGCTACCCCTTCGACCAGGAACATGGCAGCGGGTTGCACTCGACCGCATAGAAAATAGACGGGTATGTCTGCGGCGGAGAAATGGCGTGACATCGCGCCACAAACCACAGTCTCATCCCTGATACTTCCGTTGTAATCCCTTTGAACGAAAACATTGCAAAGATGAGCTCGCATCCGCAAAACATAAGCCATTTATCAATGAAATATCAAAGGAATATTCAGCATTTGGAAGTAGAAATTCTGGATAATATGTGATGAAGGGCAATATAAAGGAATCCAATTCCCCTTTTTCTCCTTATTTGGCCATTCTGTAACACTAGCACGTCACTTCCATATTGTCAAAGCTGTTTTGAAATCACGCATTAGATGAACCCGCTAGAAACATTATTCAGAAAGAGAAAAAAAAAGCTAATTTATTAGTACCTAGGTAGAACTTGTTAACTCGAGCACTTCCGTTTCGTTCAGAAATAAACTTAGAAAAATTATGATTTCTCGTGGTTGGTTCTGAGAACAGAAACTGAACAATGTTCGCGTTTGGCGAGGCCAGGATGTGATTTGTTGTTGCTGGTTCAATTTCTACCTTTTCATAAGAGTGCTATGTAATGATGTGGTTCTTTTTGGGTATTTTTTACCGTTTGATTGCTGTCTAATGTTCTTGCTTTTTGTGTATGTGTTGTGTTCTACTATCCTCCCTCCCCCTACTATGAAGTTCAGTCTGCGGCCGTTGGAGTGGTATCAGCAAGGTTGGCGGACCTACTAAGTTGGTATCCGGAGTCCTAAATTTGCTGCCATGGACTTGCAGTGTTGGCGCCCACTGCCCTTCTGCGCTGTTTT